GGCCCGGCCTGCCTCCGCCTCCCCGGGCCTCCCGCTCGCAGAGCCTTCCCCGCTGTCGACAGAGGTCCGTCGGTCCGTCCGCCCGGCAGCCCGCTTTGTCTGCGAGGTTTCACTTAGACACTCACCTTAGGTTACCTAGTTTCATTGCTTGTTTTCCAGGCTCTGCTACATTGGACTCTTTAATTCGTTAAATAGGCTCAGTTGCCAGGGTACCGAGAATGGCAGGTGACTTGATCTTGTCCAGATCAGCCTGGCCCCTTGTTAGCAGTCAGTACCTACATCTATTTTTGTGTCAAGGGAAGGAGTGATGTAAACATTGGCGCTGCAAGAGAAAGGGCTGGAGCGGATCGCCTTTGCCTGGCGTGCCCGGGTGGGAGGGCTTCAAATTTGACAGAGAAAAAACATGGTAGGCCCCATCTCAACTAAGTAGGTAGCGTCACAAGTCATCCTGTTCCTTTTTCCTTTTAATACGATGTACCAACATGAGAGAGAGACAGTATTTTCTTTTCTTTTTTTTTTTTTTTTTTGGTTTTCTGAGACAAGGTTTCTCTGTGGCTTTGAGGGCTGCCATGGAACTAGCACTTGTAGACCAGGCTGGTCTCGAACTCACAGAGACCCAACAGCCTTTGCCTCCTGAGTGCTGGGATTAAAGACGTGAGCCACCACTGCCTGGCTTTTATTTTTTTAATAGGGTATAATGTATCCCAAGTTGGTTTTGAACTTAACTAACCATGTTGCCAAGAAGGTTTTGAATTTTTGATTTTTGTTGTTTTTTTTTTTTTGCCCCCATTTCCCTAGTGGTAAGATTACAGGCATGTACCATCATGCCCAGTTTTATGGCTGGTCAGGGAACACAGGGCCCTGTACCACCTGAGCCCCAGCCTAGGTTCCTCACGTCGATGTACCCCTGCCAAAAGTATAGCATGAGTTTAATCCCAAGAAAACATCAGACAAACCCAGACTGAAGGTTTTTCTACAAAATAACTAGCCAATAGCTAGTACTAACTAGCTGAATTAGCCGTGAGAGAGAAAAACTAGAGCACTTTGAAGTCAGAGTGAGGAGCAACATCTAAGTGCTTTATTTGTCCCAGGGCTGAAACTGAACCAGAAAAGGGGTTGGTGGCCTCACTGCCATCTGGATAAAGTCTGTAGATTAGTTAGTTATTTTTAAAGTTAATATTAGGATTTAAGAATGTTAACTTTTGCTGCAGTTGACTGAAGGGCATAAAGGAGGTCTTTGTATTGTAAGCTTTTTTGTAAGTATTTTTTAAGTTGGAAATTCAAGAAAAATGAGAAGGAATGCCCCAAGTTTTCATTCTCTTGCATGTCATCCCTAAAGCAGAAATGAAACAGAAAGTGATACCTCTTCCTTTGCATTTGTCAGGAAGAGCTAAGATGGCTGAGTTTGCAGATGACCAGGCTGCCCGGCTGTGTGACAACTGGTAAGACATGGAATCTGAAGGTCTGACATGAGGCCATGGCAGCTCTGTAAAGACTTGGGTATTTTATTTGCAGGTTGTGACCCTAAACGGTGTAAGTCATTGTAACTCAAGCCTTTTAACTATTTGGGTGAATGGTTTAGGACTTGACAGGGAAGTTTCTCTGGTGTACTAAAGATTGGAATGGATGGAGCTGGGACTTGGGGCTCTGTCCTGCCCTTAATGAATTTTGACTTAGCAAGATAGGACTTGGGCTGGAGAGATGGCTCAGTGGTTAGAGCACTGCCTGCTCTTGCAGAGGACCCAGGTTTGGTCTCCAGTGCCCAGTGGGTCACAACCATCTGAAACTCTAGTTTTAGGAGATCCAAAGGCCTCTGGCCTCTCTGGACACCGGGCACACATGTGTACAGACATGCATGCAGGTAAAGCAACCATAGATAGAATAAAAACAACAACAACAACAAAAAAAAACAACTTGAGAGCCGGGCAGTGGTGGCGCACACCTTTAATCCCAGCACTTGGGAGGCAGAGGCAGGCGGATTTCTGTGAGTTCGAGACCAGCCTGGTCTACAAGAGCTAGTTCCAGGACAGCCTCCAAAGCCACAGAGAAACCCTGTCTTGAAAAACAAAACAAAACAAAACAAAACAAAAAAAGTCGGGCGTTGGTGGCGCACGCCTTTAATCCCAGCACTCGGGAGGCAGAGGCAGGCGGATCTCTGTGAGTTCGAGGCCAGCCTGGTCTCCAGAGCGAGTGCCAGAATAGGCTCCAAAGCTACACAGAGAAACCCTGTCTCGAAAAACCAGACACCCCCCCCCAAAAAAAAAAAAAAAAAAAAACACTGGAGCTGAGTGGTACATGCCTTGATCCTAGCTCTCAGGAGGCAGAGGCAGCAAGATCTTTGTGAGTTCCAGGACAGCTTGGTCTACAGAGGCTTATACAGGTAGTCCCATCTCAAAAGAAAAGAAACAAACAAAAAACCCAAAAAGCCCATTGGATTCGTTTGGATCTTCACTCTTTTTGAAGGTGGGGAAAGGTAGAGGTTGGGATTGTGCACAGCCTTATGTTTGGTAGGCACACTCTATTATTGAGCCCCTACAGCGTTTATACACATATAAGAAGCCAACTGCTTTTTTATATGTCCCCAAAGTATGCTATTTTACTTCTTCTTCTTCTTCTTCTTCTTCTTCTTCTTCTTCTTCTTTCTTTTCCTCTTCCTCCTCCTCCTCCTCCTCTTACTCTTCCTCCTCCTGCTCCTGCTCCTCCTCTTTTTTTCTTTTTGAGACAGGGTCTCACTGGCTGGCCTGAAC